AGGGCGGGCCTCGCTGCTCCTCCCGAGCTCCGGGCGGCGCCAGTGTCAGGTCCTAGTTCTGCCGGGGTTCCCTGGCAGCCCTGGCCTCGGCTTTCTGTTTGTGAAGTGGGGTTAGGAAGTGATTAAGAGAAAAAAAGACATTATATGTATATAACAAAAAAAGAAATAATTTATATATATAGATATATATATATAAATAAATGTATCTATCTATCTATGGATAGAGTCTGTCCACTTGTCTGTCCTCGGAGAGTTTATTTTCATCTCCTCCCAGGGGCACGCATCAAGTGTACTAAAATCTTCGGAACTGAGCCAGAAAATTCAGAATGAAGTCTCACGTTGAATAACAATCAGCGTTTAGATTGAGTTCGGTGTTCAGGGCTCCTTGCAGTGATGTCTCACATGGTTCACCTGCATGGTCTCTTCCTTTTTTCTTTCTTTCTTTTTTTTTTGGAGAGGTTTTCGCTATAGGTCGCGTAAGCTCGCCAGACAGAGACATAGAGACAGAAAGCGAGAAATCACCCCCTAGAGGGTATGGCCACACTGCAATCCCTTCTCCTCCATTCTCCTCTCGGGATCTTGGGCACGCACGCACACGCGCCCGGCATGAGTGGTAGTCCAGCACCCTTAACCACCATGCCACCTGCTGGCTCCAATTTTTTTTTAAAGAATTATTTTTTATTTAACTTTATTTATTATTATAATTATTTTCCAGTTTGATCAGAGAGAGACAGAGAAAGAGAGAGACAGAGAGAGAAAGTGAGAAAGCAAGCCGCCAGGTCCAGGACATGAATCATGGTCAGCTATGTGGGAGTCCAGCGCCTTTAAGTGCCACGCCAAATTTTAACTTTTTAAAAATAATTATTTTTTAACCTAAATTTATTTATTTATTTATTTTCATTTGACCAGAGAGGGACACAGAGAGAGAGAGAGAGAGAGAAAGGGAATGTGAGAAAGCAAACCACCAGGTCCACCAGTTGAACGGTAGTTGGCCACATGTGAGTCCAGTGCCCTTAACCATCATGCCACCTGCTGGCCCCCAAATTTTAACTTTATAAACATTTTATTTTATTGGGGCCAGCAGATGGTTACGTTGTTGGACTCACACATGGCTGACCATGGTTTGAGTCTCCTCCACCTAGTGCCTTGAAAATCAAACTGGGAGCATGTATGTGCCTGCCCAAAATCCTGAGAGGAGGATGAAGGAGTCAGGATTGTGGTGTGGCCATCTCCCCAGGTGGAGCGGGTGATTTCTCCCTTTCCCTCTTACTGTCTCTCTCTCTCTGGGGAGCACAAGCACCTTAAGGCAAAAACTTATTTTAAAAAGTCGTATTTATGTCTTTGCTCATGAGAGACACAGAGTGAGCACCCCGACGTGGTACTGATGCCGTGACCCACAGCCAGCTTCAGCCAGCCCTGGATCACGGACACGTGTGTGCCAGGCACACTCAGAGGTCTCCTGCCACGCACCTGGCAGCCTTCCTTAAAGCCAATCCTTTACACCTAATGCCATTTAGGTTCGTTTTAAAAGCAAAATAAATAATAGCAACTCATATTTTTCCCTTTGGTATTTTCAATAGCAATGTCATCTTAAAATCCTCTTGGGGACTAGCTTGTAGCATGGTGGTTAAGGCGCTGGACTTCCATATTTGACCGTGGTTTGAGTCCCGGACTGGCTTGTAACTCATGCCAGGCACGTGGTGCATGGGCACCCAGGGTCCCGAGGAGAAAATGGAGATGGGATTGTGGCCCTCTTCTTTGAGGAAGGGGGATGACTTCTCACTTTCCCTCTCTGTCTCTCTGGCAAGTGCACATAACCCTGTGGCAAAAACCTCACACAAAAAATTGAACAAGAAATTATTGACCAAAGAGTAAAACAATTGTGCTGCTTTCTGGCGCATAGTTACGTGCAAGTGCCGGCTACATGGCTTACTAAACTGTGAGTCACGTTTCAGTTTGCAGCCTAGTGAACCTCTCGGGCTCATGCTTGGGTAAGCAAACCGCCCCACAAATGCGCTGAGTCAGTGGCTGGTTCTCAACTTCTTGGCTTCTTGTCCAGTCAGCAACCTGTCAGGAGTATATCCTTTCTACACCATCCCTCGGAAGCTTGTTCTGAACAAGCCCTTACAAGTATCCAACAAGTTGAAACAAGCTACCTTGAGTCAGGGCCTACAGAACCAGTAAGCAAATGACTAATTTCAGGACTGCGGTTGGGGAAGGCTGTTTTTTTTCTTTTTCAGAGTTTTGGCCCCTGTCTCCTTTCACCAGTGTGTATTTTGGGAAAGTGATGAAGTAGAAGCCGTTTCTCTCAGCATGCTAGAGCTGATGGAACCTTACACTTTGGAAGCAGGCAGCTGTAGGTGCAACCACTCTTGAAATGAATCCTGATGAAGCGACATGGTCAGCTATGTGGGAGTCCAGCGCCTTTAAGTGCCACGCCAAATTTTAACTTTTTAAAAATAATTATTTTTTAATCTAAATTTATTTATTTATTTATTTTCATTTGACCAGAGAGGGACACAGAGAGAGAGAGAGAGAGAGAAAGGGAATGTGAGAAAGCAAACCACCAGGTCCAGAAGTTGAACGGTAGTTGGCCACATGTGAGTCCAGTGCCCTTAACCATCATGCCACCTGCTGGCCCCCAAATTTTAACTTTATAAACATTTTATTTTATTGGGGCCAGCAGATGGTTACGTTGTTGGACTCACACATGGCTGACCATGGTTTGAGTCTCCTCCACCTAGTGCCTTGAAAATCAAACTGGGAGCATGTATGTGCCTGCCCAAAATCCTGAGAGGAGGATGAAGGAGTCAGGATTGTGGTGTGGCCATCTCCCCAGGTGGAGCGGGTGATTTCTCCCTTTCCCTCTTACTGTCTCTCTCTCTCTGGGGAGCACAAGCACCTTAAGGCAAAAACTTATTTTAAAAAGTCGTATTTATGTCTTTGCTCATGAGAGACACAGAGTGAGCACCCCGACGTGGTACTGATGCCGTGACCCACAGCCAGCTTCAGCCAGCCCTGGATCACGGACACGTGTGTGCCAGGCACACTCAGAGGTCTCCTGCCACGTACCTGGAAGCCTTCCACGTGGGCTGGCTCCCCAGACCATGGCATTTTACTGCTGCACCACCATCTGACCCCTAAATTTTAACTCCTTAAAGCCAATCCTTTACACCTAATGCCATTTAGGTTCGTTTTAAAAGCAAAATAAATAATAGCAACTCATATTTTTCCCTTTGGTATTTTCAATAGCAATGTCATCTTAAAATCCTCTTGGGGACTAGCTTGTAGCATGGTGGTTAAGGCGCTGGACTTCCATATTTGACCGTGGTTTGAGTCCCGGACTGGCTTGTAACTCATGCCAGGCACGTGGTGCATGGGCACCCAGGGTCCCGAGGAGAAAATGGAGATGGGATTGTGGCCCTCTTCTTTGAGGAAGGGGGATGACTTCTCACTTTCCCTCTCTGTCTCTCTGGCAAGTGCACATAACCCTGTGGCAAAAACCTCACACAAAAAATTGAACAAGAAATTATTGACCAAAGAGTAAAACAATTGTGCTGCTTTCTGGCGCATAGTTACGTGCAAGTGCCGGCTACATGGCTTACTAAACTGTGAGTCACGTTTCAGTTTGCAGCCTAGTGAACCTCTCGGGCTCATGCTTGGGTAAGCAAACCGCCCCACAAATGCGCTGAGTCAGTGGCTGGTTCTCAACTTCTTGGCTTCTTGTCCAGTCAGCAACCTGTCAGGAGTATATCCTTTCTACACCATCCCTCGGAAGCTTGTTCTGAACAAGCCCTTACAAGTATCCAACAAGTTGAAACAAGCTACCTTGAGTCAGGGCCTACAGAACCAGTAAGCAAATGACTAATTTCAGGACTGCGGTTGGGGAAGGCTGTTTTTTTTCTTTTTCAGAGTTTTGGCCCCTGTCTCCTTTCACCAGTGTGTATTTTGGGAAAGTGATGAAGTAGAAGCCGTTTCTCTCAGCATGCTAGAGCTGATGGAACCTTACACTTTGGAAGCAGGCAGCTGTAGGTGCAACCACTCTTGAAATGAATCCTGATGAAGCGATTCCAGCTAAGAGCTAATAGTCCTTTGGGTAGAAGTTGCCTCATGACATTCATTTAAGCATATCTCCCAATTTGAGTGCTAAATCATAATTCATGGCCTACACATGTGGCATGGTGCTTGAGGTTGCTGGATCCCACAGGGCTGACTGCTGTTGGAGTCTTAGAGCCGGTGGTTGGAAAAACATGCCAAGTGCATGTGCACACATGCTCAGAATCCCAGGAAGACAATGGAGGAGAAGGGATTTCGGCATGACCAACTCCTCTGGGGGGATATTTCTCACTTTCTTTACCCCTACCCCTGGTGAGTACATGTGCACTCTAGCAAAACGAACAAAAAAAAAAAAAAAAAAAAAAAAAAAAAAAAGAAAGAAACAAAAAAACAAAAAAAAGAAAAAAGCATGTAAATACAAGGGCCA